AGGGACACATTATCTTTAAGAGCAATACAATGATGTTTCTGTCTCAAATCTCTCACTTTTTTTTCTTCGACTAATGTCGTTATTCAATTTTTTCAAAGCATAAAACAGTATAAGCAAATGTACAAAATGATGTATAAATACATTTGACAAAGAAAGGTACAATGAAAAACAAGATTCTAGTATTTAGTTGGTATTATTCTAGTATTTATTTAAGTTGGACATACCTCCATCTATCGAGAAATAAAATATACCTCTCTTATTGCGCATACAAAGATTGGTTGTTCAACTTCATAATGATATTTCAATTTCTTTTGAAAACATGGAAGTGATCAAGATCCCTTCAAACATTTAAAACATGAAAATATATGATGTTGTGCATCAAATAATGAAATTGAATGAGAAATAATTTCAACCTGGGATGACAAAGATGAAATTAATACTTGTTAACTTAATATTATTTTCAGGGTATATTTCTCAACATCATCTAAGAATCTTCTGAACAAAACGTACGTACATCAGAATGGGATATACCAACAGCCTTTGAATACTTATTGACAACAAGAAAATGGTAGTAGTAGTAGTAGTAGTAGTAGTAGTAGTAGTAGAATGGTTTTATTAGACAACTGCAAAATGGTAGCCCGAAAGCTAAATTACATTGCAAGTTTTACAAGTATTAAAAAGCATTTCAACAAAACTTAGATATATAGACAAGTACAAAAAATACACAGTCGGATAGATCGTAACTCCCTATAATATTACATATTCCCTACTTGCAAACAAATTGATGATACAAATAAAATAGATTCGGCATTATTATTATTTTTGTAATCATTGTTAAGTGATGAATATTCATATTTTAAATAGAAATTTAGGCTGATTAACTGAGTTATAACAAGTAAATACTGATTATTAGAAGATTTGTTGAATTTCGAACCGTAATGCACATTGAATGTCTATAAAGCTACAAATATATACGGATTTACCATAAAAAACATGATTAAACAATTACTGAAAGGGAGGGAAAAGGTCAGGGAGAGAACGATTTAAAGAGAGAGGGTTAAGTAAGAAAGAAAAACAGGAAGACCTGCGGAAGATGGGAGAGAGGGAGAGAGAGATAGAGAGGGAGGGAGTGGAATGAGAAGAATGGAACAGTTAGAACTGTGAAGACATGGAGGAGAGGAATGATGATGAAAGTAAGACGACAAAGGGAAAGCTATTAGAAAGAAATTATAAAGTAAATTACAAGTTGTGAGTTATTTGGAACTGAAAATACCTTAACTTTGTCGAAAAATAACATTAAAAGGAATAATGTAAATTTGATTCCAATTAACAACTTAATTTGAAAGAATACTTTTCCATTTCTTTTGGGAAATTGGAACTTTAAAGAGTTTGTCAACACACAATGTATGAATTAGTTCACCTAACTTTGCTCATGCTACAATAATTCCTTCTTCGTATTTGTCTTTGATGGGTCTTAGCAAATATGCTTCCATTTTAAAGGTATAACCGATATAATTACATCGAAGATTTAATTTATTGACAAACTCAGAATGTGAGAAGAATTGCAGCTGATGAATTCATTTAAGTTAAAAGTCAGTCAATTGTTTGTTTTTTTGTTTTTTTTTAATGATTAACAATAATTGTTGTCATGGAATTGGACAAATTGACCCCTCGCCCGTTAAAAAATCCTAATCACTTTTTAGAATTTTACACAGATGAAGCAGATATTGTGATAATGGCTTTCAAATACTCACAAAATTGTAGTCTGTGTCAAAAAGAATGGAGTAATGCGTAAATGCGATCATGGACCTGTTGCGATATAGAAATCAACTTATTACGACCCCCTCCCCACGAACGTGTTTATATGCCTGTATAATCATGTTGGGATCGCTTGCACCTCAAAAATCACTATATTGATAATAGATAGTTATTCCATAAATGACAAGCTGATATTTAGATATTGTTTTTGTCATACAGGTTAGTCAATCTGTACCTAAACAGACCTACTAAGTGTTCGTCAGTAACCCGTCAAGGCCGTTTATGCAGCCGAGATTCACGATTTCCTGGCGTCGCCCCTAAGTGTACTCAGCATCGTAAGTTTATAATTTGTTTATTATACTATCTTTCTCCACTTGTGGAATTGAAAGACTTTATCCGCATGACACATTTTTTTCTTCTTTGGGTTTCCTCACATTAAAAATATCTTGCAATCATGGATACAAGAAGAATATACTATTGGATGGCTTTAGGTCAATACAAGGAAATATTGAACGAAATATTTCTGCATATTGAGTTCGATATTTCATGTATTGGCCAAATAAGCCATTCAATAGTATGACTATTATTTCAAAATAAAAAATATCAAAATTTGGAGCCTTTTTTCATTACGGCTTCGCATGGTCTATTGTGCAAAGTTAACACACCTTGAAAGCCGCTGAAATATAGTGTTTGATCCATCTTGGCCTGCTGCTTACTCCATACCATGTTCATTTTTTATCAAAATTAAAATGAAATTAGTGTTAGGCTATTGGCGACATTAAATTCAATATTATGGGAAACATCTCCACGTATCTTTTACATAAGATAGCTGGAGAAAATTTGAGTCCATGTTTTGTCAACGTCAAAATATAAGGACAGGGTTCTGTATATGTGCGTATCATATGTGTATATCCATTATCTATGCTGTCCCTGTATTAACCCTTATCGTACTGGGGCCTGGGAGCCCCCCCCCCCCCTGAATTTTAAATTGTCGTTTCTACGCAACTACGCACCTAAGTCCTATACGCATATTTTGATACCATTTTCGTCGAAATCAGATATACTTGTAAGGTGTCACATTAGTCGTATGCGCATGTCATCAAAGAGTGCTATAATTGCCTTTTCATGTACAAGCAAAAATGTGAACACAGGTTTAGATTTCTTCAAACAAGTGTGAGATATAAATTGATATCAACTTGCTTTGATATGTTCCCGAACAAATACATTACAAACTAGATTTGTAATACTTGTTTCGAACAAGTATAGGTGGGCTGGTCCAACTAAAATTGAGACAAAATCAAAGGCACATTTAAGATAACTTATTGTCTCAGCTACAACATACTCGAAGTTCAGCGTAAAATAATCTAAACGACGGAGATATTGCTCGCGAAAGACGGAAATGTAGAACCCAGTTTTGAGAAAGAGTAATGTCCGTAGAGAATACAGGCAAAATGTGAAAAATTGACATGCCACCTTTAATCGCAAATATACGCCATGATGCCTTTGTCAAAATGAAAAATCGTGACTTTATATTGTTGAAAATTGTCTCAGCTAGAACATACTAAAATTTGGAAGAAAATCAATCACATTTACAGAGATACAATCAATTTTCCATAAATATGCTGACGTCATAATATGCAAATTGGAATTTTGAGTTCGGAGGCCATTATGATGACGTCATGAGTTAATTGAGGGTCAAATGAGACATGAAACAATATCTCCGAATCATACTCTTTTAAATATGAAAACAAATTGGGGTCACCTTGCATCCTAAAGAGCTACAATGGATTTTGTATGGGCATGTTTTTGCCCATATATGCTATGTATTACAAGAGCTCGCGCGCACGGAAATTTATGTAAACGGTCGATCATTCCGTTATTAATAGTCATAAAGAGACAAACATGGTATCAATTTGTTTGTAAAAATATGTGAAATATTATGAAGAAAAAAAAATGGCGATCTATGTTGTAATAGTTTTACGCGCGAAAACGCGCGCGCATGCGCATGTGCGCGATTTTTATAAAATGCTTAGAATGGCCTAAAACGTATGCAAAATGATTTTGAGACGATTTTGAGCATTTTTAATTTTGCGCGCGCATTGACGCGCGGACGTACGCGCACGCGCGCGTTATTTGACCTGAAATTGACCAACGGATATTGACCTTGATCATGATAAATATGAATGAGAAATAGCATTTGGTTATGAAGATATGATCATGAGTTGATTTTCGTAAAATTTACAAAATGGCGCCTAGATGACGTCATCATGAAGGTCAATGTTGAAAACGTTATTGTGCTTCGTACATATGCCTATACATGTGTGCCAAATTTCAAGGCATTTGATTGAGCCATTTTTGTGTTATTTTGTTCACAAAAAAGTGGTAGAAATAAGAAAAATATTTAATAATAATAAATAAAGGCAATTCTAACGAAATTATAAGGTGGTCTGTACTATATACAGCCCACTGATAAAACAATAGATATAATAAGAAAATAAAATGATGAAATATGCGTATTCATAATTTATGCAAATTAACCTTTGCATTTCCAAATAGAAAAATGATGAAATGTCATGAATTTGAAATGAAGGAAATGTTTATTCAATGCATTTTCAAGATTCTTCGAAAGTCTGGAGACAAATATGTACATTTTTCTGTAAAATGTATGAAATTAGCATTTGTATAATCAATTAGGCTATAATGACAACAACTTGCATATTAGGAAAAACGAATTGTACCATCTTTTCTTACGTGAATATCTTCAAACATGCAAATTTTCGTGTTCATCGGACATTCGACGACCGAGATCATAGCGGCATCTCCCAGCCGCCCCTCCCCAGTCAGGGAGGTGCTCAAACTAAGTAACCCAGTACAGTAATGGTTAAAAGGTTATCCTAATTTTATTAAAAAATAATCCCAAAATAATGTTTTCATTAATGCACCCATTATTGACAAGAGTATTTTTCTCTTCTAGCGTTTTGCATCAAAATTATGATTTATATTAATAGATCATGCATGGCCATTTTCAGACAGTCTGAGCTCAGGCAGAAAAAAACTATACGAGAACTGCTATATTGGGTCATAATGATTTTGAAAGACAATGTCCGGATCTTTTTTTTTTTAAAGTATACGAGCAATTATATCTAAAAAGTTGTAAGGGATCCGAGCCTTGTTCGACTGAATTCACATAAATCCTGTGATTTCGTTTAATCGGACTGGACTTTTTTCTTTCTCCAGACAACATGATGCTAGTTCTTGCGGTGGAAGAGGCCGAACTGGCCGCTTTAGAGGCCATACAGGATGTCGTTGTAGGAGCGGTGGAAGAGGAGGAAGGAGCGGTGGAAGAGGAGATAGGAGTGGTGGTGGACGAGGTGGAGATGGAGATTGAGGTTCAACGCATGGAAGAGGTGGAGGAGGAGGCAGCATGGGAAGAGGACGAGGAGGAGGAGTGGCACCTACATTGGAGCGCAGAGGACGACACCGAGGAGGAGAGGGAAGAGGAGCCGAGGGGAGATTATGGAGCAGAGGAAGGGGTGGCGAGGGAGGACGAGGAGGAGGAGTGGCACCTCCACTGGAGTGCTTCGGAGGACACTGAGGAGGAGGAGAGGGAAGAGGAGGAGCCGAGGGCAGAGGAAGGGGTGGCGAGGGAGGACGAGGAGGAGGAGTGGCACCTCCATTGGAGTGCGTCGGAGGACACTGAGGAGGAGGAGAGGGAAGAGGAGGAGCCGAGGGGAGAGGAAGGGGTAGAGGGAGGGGTGGCGGTGGGGGAACAGGTGTAGAGTATGGGGTAGAGGGAGGGGTGGCGGTGGGGGAACAGGGATAGAGTATGGGGTAGAGGGAGGGGTGGCGGTGGGGGAACAGGGGTAGAGTATGGGGTAGAGGGAGGGGTGGCGGTGGGGGAACAGGTGTAGAGTATGGGGTAGAGGGAGGGTGGCGGTGGGGGAACAGGGGTAGAGTATGGGGTAGAGGGAGGGGTGGTGGTGGGGGAACAGGGGTAGTTATACATTTATTTTACCCATGTGAGCAATATGTTTTGTTTTATTTTGTCTTTACTTTTGTTATTTTGTATTCATGTTATCCACAGTATTATTGCTGTCATAGCAATCATTGCTTCATTATTACTATTATTACTTTTGTTCATATGATTTATTCATGAGAGACAATAGACACAATAATGACAAAGTTTCATCCCACTCAGTTGAGCTTTAAAGGTAAACCACAGTGTGTGACTGGTCTCGCCGTGGTATAGTGGTTCAGTGTCTCAGCTTCAATCGGGAGGTTGAAAAATTGTATCCTAGCCTGGCTCTACAGTCCTTTGGCAAGATGTTTAAATATAACCACAATGTTCGTTGAGTCAAATGATTGTCTGCGTCATGGTATAGTGGTTCAATCAATGAATTACAATTAAGCAGTTGAGGGATCAAAACCCAGCCTGGCATGAATACCGTTTGGCAAATTATTTAATCTGCATATTGTCATTCTTCATCCAGGTGTAGATTGACATTATTGTCCAATTGATTTAAAACACTGTGGTTTACCTTTAAAATGGGGGTAGCTACTGGCTATCTAGATCTTCATTTAGATATTCTGGAACACAAAGTGTGAAAACCCAATGTTAAAGGACTGCAACAAGTCGCTCAAAAATTTCAGTCAATGCCGATGTTGGCTTTTTTGTTGGCATTTTCGTTTTGCTTTTACTACCCACAATTAGCCGGCTCATGTATTTTTATTTTTAATAAAATAATAAATTAACCGTCACCATATTTTTTTTAAAGTGGAGCTGAATTGGTATGAATGTATTGGCTAAATTTCACACATTTTGGGGTCTAAAATTACCTTTATAGCAATTTTAGATTCTAAAGGGCACTATAAATGTCATAGATAAGAATAAGAGCAATAACCATGCACTTTGAAGGCATTTGCGGTCTGAAAACAGAACTCAACTATCCCTTTAAACGATTTTGAAAATTTAAAAAAGAAAATCTATTAATGGGGTATATAATTTCATTTTCCTCCAACGTGGATGAAATTTTCTCCATCAAATACGCTAAGCTATTTTGCCCCAAACCCTCCAACAAACTTTTCTCCAAAATGCATTAACATATTATAACAGAATAACTTTAAAGGCCTAACCTATTTATAAATTAAAAATTAGCAAAATAATATAGTTTTCAAAGACTCGAGGAGAAGAAATCTTATGACAAAATATTCTAAATAGAAAGAAAAAAATATATATATATAGCTTAAGAAAAGAAATCACAGATAGCATTAGCCCACTCGTGCAAATGCATTTGACAAAGGGAATCTACAGCCTGCCCCCAGTGCAAAATGTACGTCAGTTTTTAATCAACAAAAATAGTTTTGCCTTGCCCCTTCCCACAAATCCTTATATGAAATCCTTCAAGACCATAATAAAAATCACATAAAAGGTTATACAAAGTTTTGGTATGGGGTCATGAATTTGGTTCAAATGAACATATTGGGCGTAAAGCGGGGTGTTAAGATCACGTAATCTCACACTGACTTCACCTTATCCACTCACCTTCATCCATTGGTCAGCTGGTTTAACTTCTTTCTTTTCTTGCTCCCAACCTCCAAGGGGAGTCTCCAGCCATTTCATGTGAAGATGGTGCAGAAGGGAATCTGTGTTTGGAGCCATCAACTGTTCTCCTGGATCCTGCTTGTCACTTGATCTGTGATGACCCAAACATCAGGTTTCGACACTGGATGGATGAGAAGCAGATTTCATTGGATCATGGTGGTAAGAAAGTCATGTGTAGCATTTGCTTCTCATTTTAAGGGTGTTTTAGGGCTGGGCCAAATACAGAATACCCCATTTTAGGGGGGGGGGATATTTCGATCCGATTTGCATTTCTTTGGCAGTGTTTGCATCATGCTAACCTTCGTTGGCTGTTCAAATTAAAAAAGATAAAAACGAAGGAAAACATGAGAGGAAGCGGGTATTCTATATGTAGGTAGATAAGAATTTTGAATAAGCACTCTCCTTAATTTTTAAAATTCCTGTTACTGTCCTTTTCCGTATATATTCCATTCCTTTGGGATTTTAGGATTCCAGTCATAAAGCGATATTAAGGGTTTATTAGGTTACTAGCTTTATATGCCTCTTGCCCAACTGCATTGCACGTTTGACACACATATAAGTTAATGTAAAGATATTTCTTCGAGGAAAAGGTACATGAGTAACGCCTGACCGGCTGGCTGAGTTTAGCTTTGTATCAAGACTATCCCTTTCAGAGGCCTATTGGTATTATGCCTTGCTGGAGATAGTGACTTACGAATAATGCGGCTTCGGTTGTTATATAGGAATTGTCTTTCGTATATTTACTTTTAATTTTAAGATCCATGATCTTTGACATATTGATATTCTTCGTAATTTCAGGTTTTCTATTTTTTCTGTAAGTAGTCAAGGTGCTCGATCGTTTATGTAGTTAATTTCTGTCTGGGAGATGTTCGCCTACCGGCACCCGGCCCAATCAAGTGGTCTGTCACCCATTATTATAGGGCTACCATATATAGGTTTTCCTGGAAAACATAACCCCAGAAATTTCATATATTTATTGAATATTTGTGGAAAGTTTCATTTGATATATATATATATTGATAGATAAGTTAGTATTTCGCATGATGTTTAGATGTCCTTTTTCTCTGGTGTTTGTTATTGGGTCTTGAACGGTATGTCTATGGTACGCCCGATCAGGGACTCTTTTATTGACTTTTGAGTTTTTTGTATTTTTTACAATATGTAAGGCTTTGCAAAAGAATTTAAGGTAGGTAATGCTTGTATGTGAGATGGTGGGCTGTAAATGACGAACCTACCGGGCCATACCCCTTAAATAAATTGTAGGTGATCAGCAAGCCTAGCCAGTTGCTATTTTTAAAATATTTTCTATGGTTTCCCTGACACTAACGCGTGGTAACTACATTTTGTTTGTAATACATAGTTGAAGCTTGTACCTTCCTTTATTATAATTAATGGTAAGGATCTGGTGTGATGTGAATAATAATAAGCCTATATTAACGGCACGCCCTATCATTTGCCATTTTTGTTTTTATACGTTGAGCGTGGCTCAGTCATGTACTCGATTCCCTTTTATTCTTTTTTTCTGTAAGGCTCATTAGAACTTAATGTAGTAAGATACTAGCTGGGGACTGGGAGACGGTGTCCTATGAAAACTGGGCCTACCGGGCCACGCCCTTTAGACTGTAGGTGAACAGCACGCCCAGTCAGTATCTCTCTATTTCTTCTCTTATAATATGCAGAGCTTAGCTCTGTAAGAAGCTTCCCTTTTGACCCTTCTTTTTCTGTAAGGCTAATTAGGGTAGTTAATTACTGGCTGGGAGACGTTATTTAGTGAATAACGAGCCTACCGGGCCCCGTCCCATTAACTTTAGGTGAAAGGCAGACCCAGTCAGTTGCTTTGTTTATACTTTTATTTATGTAGACCTTTGTTCTGTCAGAAACTTAATTATTTTTAGATGTTGTAAGGCTAACTGAAATATAGGATAGTATTACTGGCTGGGATACGGTATCATGTGAATAATGAGCCTACCGGGCCCCGCCCCATAAACTGTATGCGAACGGCACGCCAAGTCAGTAGCTTTTTTCTTTTCTACTCTCATTTATTTAGAGCTTTGCTCTGTAAGAAACTTATTTTTTCTTCTTTTTCTGTGAAGCGAATTAGAAGTTAGTGTAGATAACTCTTAGCTGGGAGACGGTGACCTGTGAATAATAAGCCTATCGGGCCCCGCCCCTTCAACAGTAGCCTGAACGGCACGCCCAGACAGTTGCTTTAATATATGTATATGTATATATGTATATATATATATATATATATATATATATATATATATACATATATATATAATGTAGAGCTTTGCTCTGTCAGAAACTTAATTATTTTTGTTCTTGTTAAGCTAACTAGAATGGAGTGTAGTTTTATTACTGGCTGGCAGACAGTGACATGTGAATAATAATCCTACCGGGCCCGCCCCTTAAACTGAAGGTGGACAGCACGCCCAGGCAGTAGCTTTTTTTCTTTTCGTCTGTCTTATATGCAGAGCCTTGTTCTGTAAGAAACTTAAATTTTCTTCTTTTTCTGTAGGGCTATTTAAAGTTTAACGTAGTTAACTCTTAGTTGGGAGACGGTGACCTGTGAACAATAAGACTACCGGGCCACGCCCTTTAAACTGTAGTTGCTTTTTTTATTTTTAATTATGTAGAGTTTCGTTCTGTCGGGAACTCAATTATTTTTGGGGGTTAAGGCTAACTAGAATATCGGGTAGTTAATCATTTGATGGGAGGCGATGTCCTGTGAAGAATGAGCCTACCGGGCTCCGCCCCTTAAACTATAGGAGAACAGCGCACCCAGTCACATGCTATTTTGGTGATGAGGTTAGTTTCATCAGGTACTGATTGTTCACAAAATATTCGAAAGGCTCACCAGAATTTACTTTAGTTATTTTTTAGTCTGGCCAATTTTGAGTACTTCTTGTCTCACAATTGTTACTGTAATGCCGTAGACAGTACAGCCAGCGACGTACAGGGTGATGAACAGTTGTAGATGCCTTGAGAGTTATGGGAGATCAGGTTAGATGATACATGGGCTAGCTGTAGTAGTAAGTAGGGTATAACCTGTCTTACTAGAGTACCTGTGAATGATGTTCTAGCTGGTCTTGTACCTTAAATTGCTGGAGAACGGTGCAGCAAGATCAGGCATTTTGTTCCTTCTTTCTTTTCCTTCATTGTTTTCCTTCTTTTTTCTCTCGGTAGGGCTTGTTCGTAGTTTAAGGTGCTTGCTATGTGTCATCATGCCATTCTCTTCATGCTCGTGACAGATCAACGGCTCGCCCAATCAGATGCTTTGTTTTATTTATTCATATGTAGTTTTTTTCTATCAGAAACTTATTTATGTTTTCTTCTTGTAAGGCTAGCTAGAATATAGGGTAGTTAATTACTGGCTGAGAGACGGTGACCTGTGAATAATGATCCTACCGGTCCCCGCCCCCTAAACTATAGGTGAACAGCGCACCCAGTCACATGCTATTTTGGTGATAAGGTTAGTTTCATCAGGTACTGATTGTTCACAAAATAATCGAAAGGCTCACCAGAATTTACTTTAGTTATTTTTTAGTCTGGCCAATTTTGAGTACTTCTTGTCTCACAATTGTTACTGTAATGCCGTAGACAGTACAGCCAGCGACGTGCAGGGTGATGAACAGTTGTAGATGCCTTGAGAGTTATGGGAGATCAGGTTAGATGATACATAGGCTAGCTGTAGTAGTAAGTAGGGTATAACCTGTCTAACTAGAGCACCTGTGAATGATGTTCTAGCTGGTCTTGAACCTTAAATTGCTGGAGAACGGTGCAGCAAGATCAGGCATTTTGTTCCTTCTTTCTTTTCCTTCATTGTTTTCCTTCTTTTTTCTCTCGGTAGGGCTTGTTCGTAGTTTAAGGTGCTTGCTATGTGTCATCATGCCATTCTCTTCATGCTCGTGACAGCTCAACAGAAACTTAATTATTTTTTGTTCTTGTAAGGCTAACTAGAATATAGGGTAGTTAATTACTGGCTGAGAGACGGTGACCTGTGAGTAATGATCCTAACGGGCCCCGCCCCTTAAACTGTAGGTGAATAGCACGTCCAGGCAGTGGCTTTATTTTCTTCTCTCGTGTATGCAGAGCCTTGTTCTGTAAGAAACTTAATTTGTCTTCTTTTTCTGTAGGGCTTATTAAATGTTAGAGTAGTTAACTCTTAGTTGGGAGACGGTGACCTGTGAACCATGAGCCTACCGGGCCCCGCCCCTTAAACTGTAGGTGAATAGCACGTCCAGGCAGTAGCTATTTTGGTGAACAGGTTAGTTTCATCAGGTACTGATTGTTCACAAAATAATCGAAAGGCTCACCAGATTTACTTTAGTAATTTTTTAGTCTGGCCAATTTTGAGTACTTCTTGTCTCACAATATTGTTACTGTAATGCCGTAGACAGTACAGCCAGCGACGTGCAGGGTGGTGAACAGTTGTAGATGCCTTGAGAGTTATGGGAGATCAGGTTAGGTGATACATGGGCTAGCTGTAGTAGTAAGTAGGGTATAACCTGTCTTACTAGAGCACCTGTGAATGATGTTCTAGCTGGTCTTGTACCTTAAATTGCTGGAGAACGGTGCAGCAAGATCAGGCATTTTGTTCCTTCTTTCTTTTCCTTCATTGTTTTCCTTCTTTTTTCTCTCGGTAGGGCTTGTTTGTAGTTTAAGGTGCTTGCTATGTGTCATCATGCCATTCTCTTCATGCTCGTGACAGATCAACGGCTCGCCCAATCAGATGCTTTGGTTTATTTATTCATGTGTAGTTTTGTTGTATCAGAAACTTAATTATTTTTTGTTCTTGTAAGGCTAACTAGAATATAGGGTAGTTAATTACTGGCTGAGAGACGGTGACATGTGAATAATGATCCTAACGGGCCCCGCCCTTAAACTGTAGGTGAATAGCACGCCCAGGCAGTAGCTTTATATTTTTTTCATCTCTCATGTATGCAGAGCCTTGTTCTGTAATAAGATACTTAATTTTTCTTCTTTTTCTGTAGGGCTAATTAAATGTTAGAGTAGTTAACTCTTAGTTGGAAGACGGTGACCTGTGAACAATGAGCCTACCTGGCCCGCCCCCTAAACTATAGGCGAAAAGCGTACCCAGTCACTTGCTATTTTGGTGAAGAGGTTAGTTTCGTCAGGTACTGATTGGTCACAAA